GATTGCATGGCAAGTGGGTCTCTGTGCTTGAGAAGCTCTACATGCGGATGCGAGATATCTTACCCAATGCAGCCAGATCGTATACTGGGCGAGCGGCTGCGAGACAGTTCAGAATGGCACCTATCAAGGCGCCCAAGCAGTGCACTGTTCAGGCTGATCCGGCCACGAAGCGGTGGGCTATTCCTCTGGCGCGTTTCGAGGAGCTGATCAGGAAGTTTGAGGATCCACGCAAGAACTTGGTCATTCGTGTGCGCATCAAGGGGCTGATTTGCACCCTGCCTACCTCAGCAGCTCTTCCTCTTTCACCGACGGCCAGGAGAAAATTGACAGTCACCCTACACAGAGTGGATCATCTCACCCTTGCTCAGCCAAAGTGGCTCAAGCTAACAATCGAGAATACTGCAGTTCGGGCACAGCGTTTCTCAGCCACAGCATCACGGCGGGGTTTCGATTCCTGGATCCTCACCATGGCGTCCACCACTTCAGGCAAGCTCTATGGCTTCATCAGACACCCGCCAGTCACGCTGAATGGGATTCGAGTGGTTCAAGGGACCATGGCGACTCCCATTCAGATCATGACCGCCAAGCGGGGCTGGTGGGAGAAGGCCTGGAGCAGCAAACGGTTCGACAAGCAGAAAGTGATGGGCGCTTTCGCCAAGGCCCGTCAGAAAGCCTTGGACACAGATTTGGAACCCATCTCAATCGATCAGATCAGACATATTCTACAGCGTATCTCTCCCAAGAAAGCCAAAGGCTGCGAGGTTCTCAGCATCTGCGATCCCCGACGTCTACCGGACCAAGCGATCCAAACGTTAGTTGACATATACCATAAAGTTGAGAGATGTGTCTCGTGGCCGTGGCAGCTCATGGTGGTTTTCATCAGTTTATTGCCGAAGTCGACCGACGATGATCGGGCGATCGGAGTGGCATCACTATTAGTTCGACTCTGGGGGGCCATCAGGAGCCCGCTGGACCGTGAGCGCTGCGCCCAGGCAGCAGGTCATTGGGATGGGGTCATTGCTGGATCCTCCTCCTTGCGAGCGGTCTTGATCCGCAATTTTGGAGATGAAGCAGTCAGGATGTCTCCCCTCGACGATTTGGTTCACCTTGAAGTTCTTTGGGATCTCAAGGCGTTCTATGATTCCCTGGACTGGGTCGCGCTCATCACCACCGCAGAAGATCGCAAGTTTCCATCGCACACGCTGGCGCTGACAATGCAGCAATGTTTCGCCCCCAGAATCCTGAAGGAGTCAGGCCATTTCTCTTCCTATTCAGCCCCAAAAGGCAATGGTTGCAGGACTGAGGTCAGCAGTCGACCTCTCGCGCTGCATTCTCTATCGAACACTCGAGCAGATGTGCGAGGCTCTTACCCCTGTCACTAGCAAGTCATGGGTCGACGACCTCAACACTCGCATCGCAGCCCCACCGAAGTTTGCAGTCGACCAGATCACCAAGGTTGCCGCCACCCTGCGCGACGACTGCGAAGAGTTGGACCTCATCATCTCGCCGAAGTCAAACATCCTCAACTCATCTGTCTTGGCTGGGGTTGTCCTGGAGGCCAACTTGAAGCAGTTGGGGCTCGCAGCCCCGTACAAAGATCGAGTTGTGGACTTGGGCATTGATCGTGGCAACATTCGACGTGGTCAAGCTAAGCATAAGAAGTGAGTCGAGAAAGCTCGTTTCAGATTTCGCAAGATCGGCAACCTGGCCAGGGGGGCCCTGGCGCATCGAAGGATAGGATTACTTCTCGCAGTCACTGCCGCCATGCCGTGTGTTTCCTACGCTGCGAAGATGTACGGCACCCCTCCATCGGTTCCTCTTCAATGGCGTCGAGCTTTGGGCCGCATCCTGCGCAAGGGCTCCAGCCAACCCTCGCTGACCACCCAGCTCCAGTTGGACATGGGCCACTCTGACCCCGCGATCACGACGGCCATGGGCGCGATCAACTCATGGGCGCTCTTCCTGGCCACCCACGACATCGACAGGCAGCTGGTCGAGGCGACCTGGGCCAGGGTTGTAGCGGACCTTTTGGCGCGACCGCAAAGCGCCTGGTCTCGCCGCATCTGGGGAATTCCGCTCCTGATGTTCTGAATGCGCCGTGCCGTGCTGTTGCTCGCTTTGTGGAGCCGGCGTGCGTGTGCGTTTTTGTTGTTTTTCTTATTATTCTTCTTCTTCTTTCTCGGCCGAGTCATTCATCAAACTCGCCGACTCCAGACGGGGGTCCAGGGCACGGTGCTTTGTTTTGCGTGTGGACTGGATGGCCAATGTCGGGTCCTTTCCGACGGCTTGGGCAAGCCTCGTAGACCAATCTCGCGCCGCGGGCGCAAGCGTCTGGCGGCCCTCCCCCTGGGCCAACTTCCACAGCAGGGGGCAAAGCAGTGCAGAACGGTTGTTTCTTCTAGACGATCTCTTTAGGCCTGGCCAGCTCTTTGTTCAAGTGGCCTTTTGTTTTGTGTTCTGCCAATGGCGCGCGGCCCGATGCGACTGGCCCTCAGGGCAGGCATCCGTGCGCATGCCCCACATCTGGGGCGAGGCCTGCCGTCGTCCTGGCGCTCGCTGCACCTGGGGCGGCAGGTCTCGTCGTCCCTGTGTGGGTGGTCGACTTTGGCTTGTCCTTTCTGGTGGCTGCTCAGCCACTTTGCGTTTTCTCGTTCCGACTGGCGGTGCAGGTTACGCAGCCTGTCCCAGCACCCGAGCTTTGGGGCGCCGCCAGCCTGTCGAGAGTGCGGCGTGCGTGTGCGCGCTTGCGCGCACGCCCTGCGCGCGCGTCAGGCACCCCGCCTCAGGGGGAAGGCGCGCCGCACGCTTCTTTCCCCCTCCTCTCGGCGGTGCTGGTTACGCAGCCAGCCTTGTACCCGAGCCTTGGGGCACCGTCGAGGTGGGGGGATCTCAGGGAATCCCGAGCACGGGGGTGGACGCAGGTCCGCCCCGACCGTGGCCCTACCTTTCTCGGTGCTGCTGCGGCCCAGGATGCAATGCCACACCTGGCCCCAGCACCGTTCTGCGTCGGCAGCGCACTGGCTGCCCTTCGCCGCCCGCTCGATTGCACAGTGTCGAGCGGGTTGGCTGCACCTGCGCTTTCGCGCTCTCCAGTCAAACAAAAAACCTCTCGGGGCCGAGGGCTCGAAGTGTCCCTTTTTGTCCCTCGTCTGAGCACCCTCCTGGATCCGTCTTGGGGGCCTCTCTGGATCGTCTTGGAGGCGTCTTGGGCCGTCATGGGGCCCTCTGGGGCCGTTTTGTGTCCCTCCTGGAGCCTTCGTGGGCCGTCTTGGGGCGATATGGGAGGCCTCGTGGGCAAGCTTGGAGCGTCGGGAAGCGGAAGAGACGAAAACGCCGAAATGTAGCAAAAACCAATGGGAAACCATTGCGTTTCCTCTTTGGGGCCCTCTTGGGAGTGCTCTTGGGGTCTTTTTGGGCCGTCTTGCAGGGCTCATGGGCCGTCTGGAGGCCGTCAAGGCGTCTTGGACAGATCGTTCGGCCAGTCGGGGACCGCTTGGATCCTCTTGGGGGGGTGGTTCGGGGCCCCGGGGTGGAGTCGCATCCGATCCGGGACCCCCCCCGGGGCCTCCTCCCCGCGACCCCCCTTGGGACCCCCCCCAGCCCGGCGAAGGAGGGATCAAAGAGAAGGGGCTTTCTTTCGAATCGCTTACGAGGTTGCTTAATGTCTTTGGCTGGCGCGCTTGAGGAAGACGGCCTAGGAATGGGAGGGGGGGGGCGACGGGCCCAGCGCTTGAGGAGGAGGGCCCAAGGCAAGGGGGGGGAGCGGCGACGGGCCCAGGGAAAGGGGGGGCGCAGGGAAAAGGGATGACAAAGACGACGAGGGGGGTGTCTTTCGATGTTTCGCCGATTTCCTGCTCGGTCCAACGCATAGCGCAGCGGGCTGGCGTGGCCCATTCGGAGGGTAGCCAGCTCATTACCTGTTCCTGTTCCCCCGACAGTGCTTGCACCTCGGGCTCGGATGCTACGAGGGGGATCCCCTGCTGGAGTGGGCCCGCTTGCAGCACAGGCTGTAGCGGGCCACGCAGGCATCGGAGCGGACGGCCCCGCAGCTACAGCAGCATGCGTGTTTCCCAGGGGTAGACTCCTTCTCCCCATCTTTCTCCCCCTCCTCGACCTTCGCTTCGTCCTCCTCCTCCTCATCCTCGTCCTCGTCCTCCCCGTCCTCCTCGATTTGTTTCTTCCTCCTCCTCCTCCTCCTCCTCCTCCTCCTCCTCCTCCTATTCCTCTCCATCCTCCTTCACCTCTTCCTCCTCCTCCTCCTCCTCCTCGTCCTCCTCCTCCACCTTCTCCTCCACCTCCTCCTCCACCAGCCCGGCGGCGGCGGCGACAGCGACCGCTTCCAGCGACGTCGGCCGATGCGACGACGATGTTCCGCGGCGCGCCTGGAGGGGAAATCCATGGGGGGGCGGCTTTTCTCAGAAGGCTCAGAAGGCATCCAGCCTTCTGAGAAACGATCTAAGCCCTAAACCTGCCCCAAAGTTACACAGGGCTCCTCAGAAGGGCAGAGGGCTTCTGGGAGAGCGCATCCCCCCCTACTCACTTCTCCCCTCGGTGCGCCGCCGAGACGTTCGACGGCCTCCTCCTGGCCCTCTCCGCCTTGCGGTCAAAACGTTTCAGTTAGGGCCACTTTGGGCTCAGGAGGGGCTTTAATTTTGGGGCCGAGGCCCACCGTGGCCAGACGCAGCGCGACCGCCTCCCTCCGCAGCAGAGCAGTCAACAGCGCTGCCGACTGGCACAGGGGCCCAGGACTGTACCAGGACAGACGGTGCGAACGCAACGCGTGCCACGGCGACGACGATCACGACGACGAAAACGACAACGTCCACCACGACGACCACGACGATGAGGAGGCGGAGGAGGAGGAAGAAAAGGAGGAGGAGGAGGGCAATGAGGAGGAGGAGGAGGAGGAGGAGGAGGAAATGGAGGACGACGGCAGTGTGCTGCGTGGGGCGAGGGCGCCCGGCGGTGAGTGGCAGTGCGGGGCGCGTCGCCCGCGGGAGGCGCGCGGCGGGCAGATGCTGGGGTTGCTGGCGGAGAGGATGGAGGACATCTGCCGGGCGTGCGTGCAGGCCCTCCTCTCCCAGGGGGCCCCCCTCGAAAGGGGGGGTTGTCGGAGGAGGAGTCGGCGTCGGCGTCGGCGTCGGCGTCATGGTGGCCGTGGTGGTGTTGGTGGTCGTCGTCGTCGGGGTTGGAGTCGGGGTCGGAGTCATTGTCGGAGTCGGCGTCGTCGTCGGAGGAGCAGGACGAGGAGGAGCAGACGAGCCGGAGCAAGTCTCGAGGATTCGCAAACAAGGATCACGCCGCGTGGATCGGCGGCGGGACCCGTTTCTGTGCGGAGTCGGCGATCCCCGCCGCCAAGTCAGGCGGCATCGGCCTCGTATTTCTGGGGCACTTTCCCCGATCCGCGGATCTGGCGCCCACGCGCCAGATCTACGGGTCCGTAGTGCATGTCAGCGTGCGCGCAGAAACTGTTCATGCTTCAGCGATGCTGCAGATCTGCCTCGCGTGCTATGCTCCTTTCTCGAAGATCCCCACCAGTGCAGAGGGTTCGCTCGCCGCGTCGATGCGGCGGCGACCCACGCGCGGGCGTTCAGGCTTGAACGCCGCAATGGGCCTTGAATCGGTCGATGGCGAACGACCTTCGTTATCGAAAAGCCACGATCGTTCAATCGTTCAAGGGTGAACGATCCACGCGGTGTCAGGAACCAGCGTGCAAGCCGCAATCACAGGAATGTGTCCTAGTTCTTTTCAGTACGGGGAGCTTCACCTTGACTTGAAATTCGGGTGCTAAATTGGCCACACTTTTGGCGATAGCCCTCCTGATTTAAAAAAGAACCGCCTTCCATGTTTCTAGCTGGAAGAAATTTCCAGAGACACGATCGCCAAATCTTAGGACATGCCCAGGGAGAGCCCTGTTTTGAAACGTAGCCGCCAGTCGCCACTATGTGCGACTGTCGGATCAAGACTCCGTCCGTCCGAGCAGACGTGGCAAACGTCGGCAGGGCTGTGTCTGAAGCACACATTCGATTCGCTGTAACATCATAGCTAGCTGACGGACCGACTGTGTTGACAGAGCAGCAGTTCGCGGAAACATTCAACCTTGTTTTCGCGCGCGCATGCGCTCCACAAGGACTCTTTATAGCTTGTATGCAGTGATGTGTTTGTTCTGCACGCGTGCGGTGTGGCAGGTAAAACATCCAGCCCTGGATGGATGTTCGAGGTTCCGACGGGTGTTGGGGCTCTCAGAGGTGGACTTGGAAGAGGGGTGAAGGGCTGGTCGACCAGGCAGGCATGCTCGTGGCGAGTCACTCACCCTCTGTGTTGCCTCGGAAAAGACTCTTCAGCCCTCAGTCTCCTCCTCAACCTCCTTCTCCCTTCGTCCTGCCCCCTCCTCACAAGGCGACCCCTGGACCTGTCCTGGGGTGCGTTCTGGCCAGCACTCCAGGTCGGAGCCAGCCGTGGTGGCGAGAAGCCCCCTGGAGGGCGAAAGAACGAAAGAGGTCTGAAAGGCTCGATACTCGAAACTTGATCCGCGATCCCCGAGGATTGAGCCACGCTCCCCCTCCTCCTCTGCCTCCTCTCGGCAGGCCGTCGGGGGCCTCTCCATCTTCGTCGCGGACTGCGGGCTCAAGGCCATCTGCTACTTGTACAGCCTCGTGCCCCCGGAGCTGCGCGCGGGGACGCTGAAGATGGTTCCCCCAGGGGTGTCACAGAAGCAGGGCGAGGGAGGCGAGGAGGAGGGGGAGGAGAAGGTGGAGGATGAGGGGCGGGATGGAAGGGGGGCGATGATCGAAAGGACGATAAGTATGATGATCCTGGTGTTGCTGATGATGATGCTGCTGATGTTAATGCTGATGTTGCTGCTGCTGCTGATGTTGATGTTGATGTTGTTGAATATGATGCTGATTGAGCTGACGGTGATGGTAATGATGATGAAGATGAACTTGCATATGTTGTTCATGATGATGATGTTAATGATGATGCTGATGACGATGATGAGGATGATAAGGATGCGGATGATGATGATGATGATGATGATGATGATGGTGGTGGTGGTGATGATGATGATGATGAGGAGGAGGAGGAGGAGGAGGAGGATGGAGATGGTGCTGACGATGATAACGGTGGTGGTGATGATGACGATGAGGTCTGTAGGGGTGATAACGATTGTGATGATGACGACGCTGGTGCTGATGTTGATGATGAGGTTATTGAGGATGATGATGGTGATAAGCATAACGGGTAATCGATGATGCGTGGTGGCCATTGGTTTGTGGGTGATGAATTGTGGCGATGGCGGTGGTGATGGTGCCGGTGATGATGCTGATGTTGACGTTGGTGATGATGTTTCTGGTGTTATTGATGATGATGTTGGTGCTGATGCGGATGCTGATTGTGCTGGTGACTGTAATGTTGATGACGATGCCGGCGAATCTGATGATGATGCTGATGGTGGTGGTGATGATGATGATGATGATGATGGAGCTGATGCTCTTCTCTCCATGCTGGCTCTATGCCGCCGCCTCCGCAGCAGCTTAAGCATCAGAGACGGATGACGCTGTTCGTGGGCACCGCGGGCCCCTTCTGCGCGAGAGGTAAACGATCGCGAAAGTCGTCGGTGTCGTCGTCGTCGTCGTCCATATTCTTGTTCGCTTTTCCCGTGCATGCATTTTCTCACAGCTTAGCGGGCTATGGGACACATGTCAGGAACACCTATTTAGAACGATGGAACCAACGCTTCAGTTGCATTATCAAACCCGCATTTCTGCTAGAAGCAGCGTTCCTCTGGCGAATGACTGGTTACCAGCCGAAAGCTAAGTGTCGCACCTGATAGACAAATGACCCTGGGTAATGATGGGCATGTGCTTTTTTTCTCCGGGACTGCACGAGATCGTTCTAGCATCTCGAGAAAAGACGCGAAGGGCCATATCCCCCCCAGGCATTTCCGTCACATCGTTGCTTGACGACCTTATTGTCCAGACGGAAGACAGCCTCCCAGCATTGGTTCGACTAATGGACGAGGGGGGGAATGTCGATCATGAGCTCGCAGCCACCATGGAAACGATGACTCGTAGTTGAAGAATCCATCCATCAGCTGCAAGGCGACTATGGCCGCATCCCAGGCGGACTGCGCGAGAGACGGCGCGGGGGAGTCGCCAGAAGCGAAGCGCCCCGAAGGGCCCGGCGACGTGCGCATGGAGCATGACGCGCCTATGCAGGTTTCCAACTTAGCAGGAAGTTTGCTTGGCGATCAGATCTGCCAGCTAGGCGAGCCGTTTCAGGGTCGACCACCGCTCCAGCGTTGCCTCCACGTAGTGTTGACGGACGGTAAGTTTCTCGGCCCCCTTTAGCGTCCAGTCTGCGTACTAGGTCGAGGAGTAGCCAGGGAGCGCATGTGTTTTTCTTCGGGATGCCCCTGTGCGAGAGTAGGGACGATGGGGCCGAGGCCCCGATGCCATCCGGCAGCCGAGAACTGATGCCCCGGGGAAGTGAATGGCATCAGCGGCCCATGCCGCCGACCTGCATGTGGGAGCTGCTCGCGCGCATGTAAGCATTGCAATCCCAGTTGGTTTCGTTCGGAATGCGCCGATATGGAAAAGCACGAGTGGCAAATAAAGAAAAAGCAGAACAGCGGCAGGGGGAAGCGCGGCCCACGGGAAGAAGCTACGCGAAGAACTGGCCGCGCAAATTCTCGCGATCCACGCGCAGGAGGATGAACGACCGCAGAGAATCAACGCCGAAAAGGAAACCTTTGCGCGCCGCGCCCGTCAGAGCCAGCAGGTCGCGTCGGAGGCAGCCCGGCTGTCTCCAGCCCAAGTCGAGAGGCAAGAGGAGGAGTCGGAAGAGTCTGCAGGATGAGAAGCGATAGACGCGGGGAACACAGGGAAACGGCAGCAGAGGAAATGCACATCTATTTGCTTTTGCAAAAGGCGGCAGTTGAAGCGAGATGCCCCCGCCAGCTGGCGGAGGAGGCGATGCGTAGGAGAGGTGCGCAGGCGGATGGTCTGATTCACAGCGCGAGCGAGGAGGCGACATCAGTTGTCCAACGAGCGGACCTTCCAGAGCGCGCCGCCACATATCAGGCGTGAAATATTGGAACATAATGGAAACGCTAGCTGAGGACCTCGCCAGACAGAGAGAGTCGCATGATAATGTGATTATCGTTCGGGGGGCGCCCTGCATGGCCGAGCCCAGCGGGGAGACGGCGTCGACTGCGCCGCGCGCTGAATCCGAGGTGCAGCGCGACGCGCTGTGAGTTCGGTAACAGCCGACCCCGATTTGGAGCTCGCCCCTCTGCGGACGGTCGGCCGAGTGGCCCGGCGTTAGAGGCTCGGCCTCTGACGCCGGGAAATTCGACGCGTCGCGCCGCAGAGAAGAAGAGAGAGAGAGAGAGGAGAGAGAGAGAGAGAGAGAGAGAGAGAGAGAGAGAGAGAGAGAGAGAACAAAAGAAAGATAGAGAGAGAGGGCCGCGAACGCGGATCACCGCCGCCCACGGAGATGCGCCACGTGTGTTTTTCTCGCCAAAACGCGAAGGGGGTGAATTGCCTTCGACGCGCCCAGCCATGCCGCAGTAGCCGCGTCGCCCCCATAGCCAAGCGCTGCAATCAGCGCGCGCGGGAGAGAAAGCGGACACCGAGGCGGAAGCTGCCGAGACAAGTCAGGAAGAGCGCGAGCGTTCTAAGCCGATGGAACAGGCGCGCACGGCCATCCCCGTTCAGCAGCAGAAGAACATTTTCGCGAGCTGCGGACAGAACGAGAAAATATCGAGAAAGCCAATCATTCGCAAACCACATGAAGTTGAGTCGAAGAGAATTCTCGACTTGCGCGGCTGTCATTGGTGCCCCCTCGACCACGTGGAGCCGCTCTACCTCGGCGCGCCTCGCGCGCCCCCGCCGGCCGATCCAGGAACGATGCCCATGGGCTGACGGGGGGGAGAGGCAGAGACGCGCATTTTCAAACAGCGAGGCTATATTGGGCCATCTTAGACGTCGCCCCGGGCTCTCCCAGGCCGCTCGGGGGCGCCCTGGGTGCCTCCCGGGTGCCTCTCGGAGGCGTCCTTGGGCTTCTCGGGGCGCTCTCGGAGCCCTCTTGCGGGCCTCTCTGGAGCCCTGGGCGGGGGCGTAGAGGCCATCTGGAGGGCGGTCGGTCAACGGAAAGGGGGTCTTCGACGCGCCCCCCCCCCCCCCCCCCCCCCCCTCGCTGGCCGCGATCTTTTTGCAGTGCGTCGAGAAGTGGCCCCCCTGGGGGTCGAACAGCGGCCCCCCGAACAAAAAAACGTGGAGGGGTGGGGGGGGCGAAGGGAAGAGAGGTCGCGGAAGTGGGAAGAGAGCCCTCGTGAGACCACCTGTCGCCCAGAAGGCCGGCGAGCGGCCACGAACCATCTGGGCGCCCTCCGCCCGCGACGCCCGACGCATAAGATGAGCCACTTGATCCAGCGCAACGCCCCCGACTCTATCGGAGGCGCAGGCGGAGGCGGACCGCGCGGCGATGGTGGAGACGGGGGAGACGATGGTGAAGATGACGAAGGACCCAGCGCGCGTCTTCTTGAGCTTTGGAAGCAGATGGGCAAGACGACGGGAACCCAGCTGATTCCAAGTCCTAATCCCGCGAGGCTTCGGGAGTTGAGCCCCAGGTGTCGCGGGTCGCATGATCGACGCCCCCCGATGCCTTGATATGGACGGGCCCTGACATAGGCTTTCAAATTCTGGGACTCTCGGGGGCGCGCAAGCGGATCGATGCGCTGATCGCATCGGACCTGACTGAGACATCTTCCAATTCGAGGCAGAAAAGGGCCCCCACCACAGCAGGCGCACCTCATTGCACATATTTTACAAGGGGAGCACAAAGCGCCGAATAGGTCCTGTTGGCATACCGAGCTAGAGATTACACGTTTGAGTTGGGGCCTGGGGCGCGCTGGCCACCGACGTTTTAGCGCAATGCTAATGGCGCGCCCGATGCTTATTTTGCGGCCCAGTGGTTGGGAATCGAACTAGTTGACGACCCCGCTATTAGAGGCTGCCCAAGGTCAAGACGATATATAACCATGGTGCCTGCGCCATCGGGAGTCGGCGTGGACCTTGGGCTGAAGTTTGATGTCGGCACGGATCGTTTCTGCCCGCACCCCGTTGCGTTCCCCATTTTGAACCGGCACCGCGCGCGCAGTTTCGAAGAGACGTGGTGGATCCGGCACCTGTGGCAATATTGCGCAAGGCAGGGAGAGAGGGCCCTTTCCTGACCGTGCCTACTACTTTGCTTTCGAAGGCCGCCATCAAAACAATGTGCGTCGCGACCTCATGGCCGAGTTGCGCGCAGACGGTGCGTTGCGTAAACAGTGAAACTCGCGCGCGTCTAAGAAAACGAATGCGCGCGGCGCTGAGACGAGAGCTAGATGTTTAAACCGTTCCGCCCTCAATCCGCGAAGCTCCTGCTAATTGCCCGAGTGAATGCCAGCGGCGCCGAGGCGAAAACTATTTGGAATGCAAGCCTGCTGTGGGCGTTTGTGTTTTTGCTGCTCTTCCCCCTTATCTGGTTCGCGCGGCGCCATCAATGTCGCCCCCCTAGAATCGCCCGCGGTTTTTCTGTGGCAGCGCGGTGTTGAGATGACGGATGGGACCAACGTTGGAGCTCCATTATCAAACCCGGCTTGCCATGAACAGTGTTCTTCTTGTGAATGACTGATGGCGGTGGTGGTGATGCTTATGGCGATGGTGATGATGACGATGGTGATGGTGGTGGCGGTGCTGATGTTGAGGGCCTGGAGGAGCACGACGATGATGAAACTGATGGTGCGTATGCTGTTGGTGACGATGGTGATGCGGGTGCTGATGATGATGACGGTGGCGATCGTGCCGATGATGTTGATGTTGTGGATGATGAGGGTACTGATCGTGATGATGCGTATGCCGATGGTTGGTGACGGATGGTGGGTGATGCGTGATGTGGGATGGATCATGATGACGGTAGCGATGACGATGACGACGACGATGTTGCGGATGCGGATGCGTGTGGTGATGATGAGGGCGAATATGAGGCGGATGGCACCGGATGGTGATGAGTATAGTGTTGATGTTGGTAATGACGATGGTTATGTTGATGATGGTGATGCTGATGTTGACGGCGATGTTGCTGATGATGATGGTGGTGGTGATGGTAACCAATATCATTATGATGGGGGTGCCGATGACGATGATGGTGATGATGACGATGTTGAAAAAGAATAAAAAGGATGATGATGCTGATGATGATGATGATGATGCTGGCGATGGTGATGGTGATGGTGATGGTGATGATGATGATGATGAGGAGGAGGAGGAGGAGGAGGAGGAAGAGGAGGAGGAGGGGGATGGGGGTGAGGAGGAGGAGGAGGACAAGGAGGAGGAGGATACATATGATGATGCCATCGAAGGGGAATAGGAGGAGGAGGTGGAGCAGAAACAATATTGTTGATCGTGGTATCGCACCGCAGCGCCCTTGGCATTCAAACGTGCAACGCGGAGGAGGAGGAAAGGAAAAGGAGGAGGAAAAGGAGGAAAAAGGAGGGGGAGGAGGAGGAGGAGGAAGAGTTGGAGTGATCAGAACCCTCTCGTCGGGCTCGTCGGTGCCTCGCCCTGACCCCGCGCCCCCGCCGCTGTTTCGTATCAAGGCTGCAGCCCGTGTTCTGCGCGCCGACAGACGGCGCAGGTCTTCCCGCCAGGAGGTGGCGGCACGAGCGCTGAGAACGTGTTTTCCTCTCCTTCCCTTGGAAAAAGTTCCGCCGCGATAGCTTGTACGAGAGCAGGGCAGCGGGCAGCACAGTGAGAAGGAGTACAAGACGAGCGTATACGTTGACTTTGGTAGCGGAGCTTCGGCTCCAGTCCACGAGCACCCACAACACGAAGATTTTCAACAACGGCATTGAGACGAACATACTCTGTATCAAGATTTTCATCAACTACGTCACTGACGGCATCGAGACGAACACTCTCCATGTCGATATCATCATCAACTACTTCAACAACGGCATCTTTACGAACATCCCCATATAAATATCAACATCGACTACTACAATGGCGAACCATGCGCCCGGAGCCGTGGAGGTTCAGGGCACTCATCGTATTCCCCCGGCATGGCAGCCGGGCGCGGACTATACTTTCAGGGATTGGGAGCGTGACGTTACGAACTGGATCAGGCTCACAGACTTACAGGCCGACCAGATCGGCGGAACCATCTACCAGCGTGTTTCCGGCCTGGCCAAGACTTTGCTACGCGATATTCCAGACAACGTGATCAGTTATGGCGCCGACGGGCGCCCAGGTGTGAAGATCCTCGCGTCGGCCCTTCGAGCACGATGGGGCGGCGAGGGTTGAGACAAGCAGTTGCAATTCCTAGCCGCTTATGATGAGTTCGATGTCGGCCCTCGTGAGGATTATGAAGATGCTCTCACACGTTTTGACATCAGCCGTATTCGAGCTCGCGATGAAGCCGGACATCAAACTGCTCCAGCATCCCTCGCTCGGAAGCTCCTCTTGGCCTTCAACGTCCCAGAGGATGCCTGGTCCAATCTTCTTGTGGAAATTCGAGGTATGCTTCCGAGCACCGAGATGGAATATGAAACACTCCTGAGGCATCTGAAGCGCAATCTCTCCCTCCACTTCAGGAAGAATAACGCTATGCGACCTCAGGCCCCCCGAGGTCCAGTGGGCAACAGTGGAGGAGGTGCGCATGGTCACTTTTCAGCATTCCCGGTTTTTGAACAGCCACGTGGCAGCTCGTCTGGTTCCTTCTGGGACCGCATGCTTTCACGGACGCCAGCTACGCACCAGAGCTACAACATGGGCCACAACCAGTGCCAACACTGTGGATAATGTCTGACACGCAGCATGTGTACTGAGTAGTATTACGACGACGAGCTGGACCTCCTGGACAGCGACGACGACTCAGATGATGACCTGGACTTCGAGGGCGAAGGCCAGGCTCAGGCAGCGTACCGGCAGTACGAGAGCAGCTGCGCCGAGTGGGAAAACCTTGTCCTGCCCTAGGAGATCGAAGACAGGTACCAGGTCTTCCTCGAGAACGCGCGGCGCTGGAACAAGTTTCGCAAGTTCGGACGACGACGACGTGATTTCCACAAGCGAGGAGACCGCCATGGAGAACGACGTGAATCTCGGCCGAGACACGATCTCGATTCAAGTTTTCTCCGGAGCGACGGTTTGACTACCAGATGGGCAAGAAGAACCCACTGGGAAAAAATTGCAAACCACTTCGTTGCTCTATCCGCGACAGCGACGATCATCCACGAGCTTTCTGTCCTCAGAAGAAGAAGAAGCGCTTCGGAAGGGGAGGCAAACCAAGGATGAATGCTGGACCCAACAATACATTCTCAAACCCTTTCCTTGTCTCGCATCTTCCTCCACGGTTGGCGCCAACATCTACGGGATCCTCCCTGGGCGGCTACCTGATGTGGCCCCCCTCAGACGCATGGGGAGAACCACCGCCACCGCAGCAGCCGCCATCTGACTGAACCCGAAGGTCATCGGCCAGCATCTCCGAAGTCATGGAAGTACTACTGCGGAGAAGCTCACAGAGATGTTTTGGCGCCTAGCAACGACAACAAGATGTGGCACATGCAGGGCTTCATTCCGATCGAGGCAGGCCCCGCGTCAGGCATGGTGATCGACCAGATGGGAAATCCTTCACCTTCCAGGATATCGGCTCTCGACAGCAGCGCTACACCGTTCAAGCCTACGACGTGGACAGCTGGCAAGAAGGACGAGGGGGCTCCCAGGAAGCCCAAGCACTACAACATCGCCAAGGACCACATCTGCCACAACTGCAAGACGGAGTACCACCATGAACTCTTTGAATGTGAGTATTGCAAGAAGGAGTGTTGTCATCAATGTATGGCCTACGACGATTATCTACACTGCTGGGAACGTGGAGAAGAGCGTGCTGGCCGCGGCCAGGGCAGCTCACAGGTGCGCACTCAGCCCCTTTACCCGTGGTGCAGCGACCTCAGCGACATACGTATCGCGAGATCTTGGACTGGATACCAGGCTCACTCGGCGTCGCAGCTACCAGGTACTCGTGAAGGACTCCTGGTCGACAGCGGCGCCATCGACAACCTCGCCGGCAAACAATTCGTAGATCGCCGGAGTGTCATCGCCAAGACGGCGGGCTACGAGATTCATTTCGAGCCCATGGTGCACCCCGTCGTGGTTAACGGCGTAGGGAAGGGTAGCCAGCAGGCTACGCACCAGGCAGTTGTACCGATCCAACTCAATGATGAATCCGCTGAGTTTCGAGCCCCTTGTCTGATGGGCGACGGCGCTGGCGTTCCGGCTCTGTGGGGCCTACGATCGCAGAGATTGTCACGCGCCATAATCGACACCGGTGGCAACGCAGTCATCATCCCTGACCCTGGAGGTTTCTCGATGACTCTCAGCCTCGGCAGCAAGGCGATACGGTGTGAGAACGCGATCTCGGGACACATGATGATTCCCGTGTCGGACTTCGAGGAGACGGATAAGAAGGTGATCAAGTCCTCTACGAAGTGGGCCCCCCACGGTGCGTGCTGCCAGCTGGGCAGCAACGACGCTGCGGCGCCCTCCGCAGCACCGACGCCACCGTGAGGGCCCGGCGGGCCGAGCAGTGAGCGGGGGCAGGGCTCGGCTGTGCCATCGGCAATCCCCCGCAGTACCACTGCAAGCACTATCGCTACACGTTCAATTTTGAAGACGACAGCCGCCGCTGCAGGTTCTTCGAGACCGCCCTCGGCAGCTACTTCCTCTACTGCACCGTCTAGCACCTCGACTGTTCCCACGAGTGCTTCATCGCGAGGTCTCTGGACTGGCAGCAGTCAGCTCGCGACTGGCTCGACGAGCGCAGACAACTTTCAACGACGCCAGACCCACCAGCAGGAGACGGATATCACAAACTCTATCATTTCAGGGAAATCTTCAGCGGCTCCTGCAAGTTCACCGAGTTGGGCAAGGCAGCCGGCATGCGTACCAGATCACCAGTCGACCTGACGACGAAGTGGAATCTCTTGTGGCGGACTCATCAGCTCGAGTTACTCCGGCAAGTGTGAGAAGAACCTGCTCAGGTTTTGTGGCTAGACCCTCCAGGCGCGGCCAAAGGCACTGGCAGTGCCAAGGACCACGAGCTGGCCAGGTACGTCACCGAGCTCGTCCGCACTCAGCTGGACAAGGGTCTCCACGTCGTCATCGACACGACTGCAGGCAGCCACTTCTGGAAGCAGGCTGAGCTTCAATCACGACTTGCACACGAGCGCCTCAAGCATTGGAAGTACTCTTGGTGTGGCTTGGGCGCCGTCGACCCTGTGACGGGCCGACCGTGGCATCGAGTTCGACGAGTTTTATCTACTATCGATTTATCTTACCTCTGCAGTGGTTGGCCTGTGGGCAGTTATCGGGCACAATGTTGTCAACCATCACATCTGCATCAAGCTACGAGGAAGCGCTTTCAGTCCTCCAATGCCCTGGACCGCAACAATGCATCCAGGGAGTACCCCGAGCAAGTTATCAGGGGAGCTCACTGTGACTTGATCAAGTTTATGCAGCTGAGGAGTGAAGAGAGCGAGAAGTACAACCAGAGTGCATCAGAACCCTTTACATCGGCTTCTACTACGGAAATGGCCTCGGCCAAGCCCCTTATCTTCAAGGCGGAGGTGGTCACCAAGACCAAGAAGCGGGCCATGCCGACGCTCGTACTACCAGACGAGTGCTCGGGGGACTGCGGCGACGACTTCACCCCTCTCCTGATGAAAGACAAGCACGGTGAATACTCTCAGGAGTGGCACGCTGAGCGCGTCGCCGCCGTCGCCAACTTCACTGTCATGTGCGCCAGCCAGGCTGATGAGATCTACTACATTGACGACGAAGTCGACGACCCGATGGACACCAAGTGCTTCTACGAGGGCAACTTTCACGACCTTGAGCACTACCTCGCCGAAACGACTGTTGATATTATGGAAATATACGGCGGTGAGGCGGGCACGACCAGGTCCAGCGTACGCTTGGGCCTGAGGGGCGGCCGGAACTTCGACATCGTCACCGGCTGTGACTTGGCGCTGAAGGAAGATGCGCGACAGCTGTGGTATTAAATCATTAAGTGTCGCCCACGCGTCATCGTCATGGCCCCTCCGTGCACCGCCTCCAGTCTGTGGTCGCACGTGCGTCGGCATCAACCTCGCAGCCATGACACCTGGCGCCGCAATCGCATCATCGGCGAGAAGCTTGCCAGGATGGCTGCGCAAGTTGCTGAGCATCAGGCCTCCCAGGGCTTCCTCTTCGTAGTGGAGAATCCATATGCGAGCGAGATGTGGAAGCTACCGCACTGGGAGGCATTACTTGGAAGAGATGACGTCTACAGCATTACGATTCAGATGTGCGCAGCTGGGCTTCGCGACCCCTTCGACGAACACAGAGCACGGCTCATCAAGAAAGATGCTCTCATCGTCGCGAACCACCCAGAGATCATTCGACCCCTTCGGATACTGCGCTGCCCTGGAGTTTCGCCACAGCATGTTCATCAGATTAATGAGAACGGCCGATCGCCCTATACTCAGGTCTGGCCGAAGCGATTCTGCCGACTGCTCGCCAGAGGTATCGAGTGCGCCTTGGACATGCAGTCAGTGGAGGCGCATCCTACGGCAGAAGAGCTGACGGTCGCCGGTCGTTTGGCATGCAGACGCAGACAACGCAAGGATGACCCCACGCATACCAGGGTCGCAGGCGAGTGTCTTTATCCAGATATCCCAGCAGCGACCACTCGCAGTGTATGGAATCGACGTTTTGCCTGCCCGGCCTGTAAGGTCAAGGCCAATCGTTGGGATCCTCGACACACTTTCAAGGGCGACGAATGCAGGTGGAGTTCCAAGCAGATAGAAGAACGTGGGAAGGCAGCTCCACGAGCACCTGCTGGCGATGCCACCGAGCCGAAGAGCAGCGAGAAGGCTGATCCTCCTCCACGGACTCCTGTTCCTGGCAGGGGTCCACCTGGAGATCCTGAGAAGGAAGATGACGAACCAGAGATGGATCCAGCCGAGGCTCGGGCAGCCAGCGGTGCTCGCATTCGCGAAGCTCTTTCGGGACCTCCTGCTGTCTCGACGAACCCGAAGGCTGCGGTATCATCAGGACCATCGGCATCATCGGTGGCACCAGTAAGACGCAGCACCCCCACCATCGGGACACAGGCTACTGATGCTTGGGACGAGCCGGACTGGTCTCGGTTCGACTTGGGGCGGTCGCTGCAGGTCTTGCGCAATGGCAACGATGCTCAGGTCAAGCGAGTTA